CATACATATTTATTTTCAGTACATCAAGTTTATATTAAAGAGGAGTATAATGGTGAAGATAAAGCAAGCATAGATCATGAAAAATCCAAATATAGATTGAAAGGTACTATAATGTAATTAGATGCATCTAGTATATTTTTTCTATATAAAATTTTAGTTTATTTGAAAAAAAAATTTGACATTAATATTCTAAAATATTTTGCAAAATATCTATGAAAAATTATGCACTATGGTCCAAAGAGACTGCCAAGTTATATTTTGTGGCGCTACCTGGTAGTACCACACTCAAATTATTTCTCTGAGCAGTGGTTTTGTGTTTCAAAGTTATAGAGTTGAGAGAGGATTGTAACCATAACTAAAGTAGCCTACTTGACTATAGTGGGCTTCATGGCTTTGGGAAATTGAGGTGAATTTAAATAAAATTAGAAAAAAATACTATTGTAATGATATTAATGTAATGATAGACGGATTTACAGTTTGAGTATAAATAGGTGCAAGATAACGTAAAGAATGTAAACTTGATTTAGATTTAGATAAATTTTCTTATTTTGAAGAGTGAGACTGATACTGCAATTACTTCTCAAAATAGTTTTCCACTTAATCTTGTTTAAAAAAATAAAAAAATAAAAAGTTAAAAATCATTAGATATACCATGGCTACTTTAGCTCCCCATCATCACTTGGTTTCTTTTTGAGTTTATGATTTGTTCTGCATCCAGGACAAATAACTCACGGATAGCATTAGTTTTTCAGTGCCTATCCTAGAAAGATAAACATATTTTGCTGAATATCTTGTTCTTTTAAGTTTATGTTGTTTTTTTCCAATAGTTTTTAGCATTTGCCATACTTTTTCCAGCCACAACAAAAATTTAGAGTTATTTGAATAAAATACTAAGCCTGAATGACACAACTTTTTACAATTTGAAATTTTTTTTTTTGTTTATAAAGATGTCTTCTAATTAAACTAATTTCAACTTTTCACAACTCAAAATTAGTTTAGAAGAGGAGATCTATACTAAAATCTTTTTATATAGTAACGCTAAACACTCCAATAACACCAAAATAGATACATATCTGTGAAACCTAAACACCCAACATATTATACCCAAATAATAACATTGTATTTTTAACACCCAAATAACAACATTCTTCTTATGACATTTATATAATCAATAAGATGACTATTGTTAATAACTAATATTATTTTTAAATAATAAAGATTTTGCTTGGTTTGCCATACCATAAAACCTGACTGTGTTTTTGGTCCACAATGAATGCTGATCAGAATAATAGTTTATGGAGATCCTTGAGGAATAATTTATTATTATTAAAAAGAAGTAATAACTTTAATATTTTAATTTTTTTAATCCTATTTTTTTATAAAGCCATTTCATGAACTACTGATTTGATTTTATTGTTGAACATTACACACTGTCTGTTTATCATTACACACTTGTTAATTACACACTGTCTGTTTTGTTTAACAAACTATTGATATGATTTTATCCTTGACATTACACACTGTTTGTTTATATTTTGATTTTTTTTAATTAACTTTGTTCCTTTTTTTTGGGCTGATACAATTTTTTTTTCTTTACTATAAATATATTTTTAACAGTATCAATAATAAGGGCAAATCTGTTATTCCTTCTCTCTTGTATGGTTCAGACTTTGTCACCTCACCTAAAGACAAAGCTGAATTGTTTGCTAAGAACTTTTCATCAATATTATCTCTTGATTCCACTAGTTGCGTTCTACCTGACATAACCGTCAAACAGGTTGATTCCTTGCTTGACATTCGCATCACTTCAGCTTCTGTATCAAAAGTAATTTCCTGCTTAGACTCTTCAACAGCTTGTGGTCCTGATAACATTCCTGTTGTAGTCTTGCAGAAGTGTTCTCTGGAGCTTTCATCCATACTTTCAAAACTATTTAACAAGTGCTTATCAGAGTCTTGTTTTCCATCATTCTTGGAAGCAGCATCTGTTATCCCTATTTTCAAAAATTTTGGAGAGCGATCTGATTCATCTAACTACCGTCCCATTAGTCTTCTTCCTGTCATAAGCAAGGTTTTTGAATCATTAATCAACAAACACTTAATCTCTCATCTTGAATCAAATAACTTACTTTCTGATCATCAATATGGATTTCGATCTTCTCGTTCTACAGCTGATTTGCTAACAGTAATAACCGATAGGTTTTACCGTGCATTAGATAGAGGTGGAGAGGTTAAGGCTATCGCACTTGACATTTCTAAAGCTTTTGATAAAGTTTGGCATGCTGGTCTTCTCCATAAGCTTTCTTCTTATGGTGTATCTGGTAACATCTTTAAGATTATTGAGTCCTTTCTTTCCAATCGTAGTATAAAAGTTGTCCTCGATGGACAACACTCTTCTTCACATCCTGTAACTTCAGGGGTTCCTCAAGGTTCAATCCTTGGCCCTATACTCTTTTTAATTTACATTAACGATCTTCCAGATATTCTCACATCTAAGGTGGCGTTATTTGCTGACGACACTACCATTTACTCTTGTCATGATAAGAAGCCTACACTCTCTGATTGCCTGGAGGGGGTATCTGAGCTTGAAAAGGATCTCAACATGCTACTTCTGCTACAGCATGGGGCTCACAGTGGCTGGTGAACTTTAATTCAGATAAAACTCAATTTTATTCGGCCAATCGTTATCGTAATAATTTAGATCTTCCTATATTTATGAATGGTAATGTACTAGATGAGTCATCTACCATTCATCTTCTAGGATTAACTCTTACTTCTGATCTTTCTTTTAAACCGTATATCAAATCCATTGCAAAATTAGCATTTGCTAAGGTTGCATCTCTTTATCGAGCTTGACACTTTCTTACTCCAGATTCTATTCTCTATCTCTATAAATCTCAAATCCGTCCCTGTATGGAATACTGTTGCCACATCTGGGGCAGATCTTCTAATGATGCTCTTTCTCTTTTAGACAAGGTGCAAAAACGCATTGTAAACATAGTTCAACCTGCTCTTGCAGCCAATCTCCAACCTTTGTCACATCGTCGTGATGTTGCTTCTCTTTCTCTTTTCTACAAATACTATAATGGGCACTGCTCTAAAGAGCTAGCGTCCCTTGTGCCATCTACTAAAATTCATTCTCATGTTACTCGCCATTCAATTAAGTCTCATCCTTTTTCTGTGACTGTTCCTAAGTGCTTCAAAAACTCTTATTCTTCTAGTTTTTTTCCTCGAACATCAGTTCTTTGGAATTCGCTTCCTTCATTTTGCTTCCCTGATTCATATAATTTGCAATCTTTTAAGTCATCAGTCAATCGTTATCTTGCTCTACAGATTTAGTCTTTTTTCTTCCAGTAACTTTGGAAGTGAAGATGTTAAAAAAAAAAAAAAAAAAAAAATTTATAGTAGTAGTAATAATTGTTTGACTATTATTATAAAAAATATTCATGCTCACAAAACAATAAAATTGTTAAATAAAAACCTTTCTGTTGTCATTCACTTTGGTCGTCACATTAACTTTATTTTACTCTTTGTTATGAATAGAACATAAAAATATAGAATATAAAAAAACTCTTTTATGAAAAGTCAAGAAGTCTTCCCAGTAAATCTTACCACTGAATTTATTTTATCTGCAGGCAGTTTTTCAATTCTTTTTTCATGTTACAATCAATTATAATACCAATGTTTTTTTTTTAAATCTGTTTGGTCTTGAGAAATATTTTTTAAAATTGCATAACAGATTAATTTAATGTCAATGCTGTTTTTCCTGATAAACCGTACTAACAGTAAGAATTACAATTATATAGCTGGATATTTTTTCCTGATAGATAGTACTAACAATAAAAAGTACAATAGCATAGCTGGATATTTTTTTGTCATTGCACAGTAATGCAGGTGGTGAACAAAAAAAGGTAACAGTTTATTATATTTAAGATGATGTAATAAACAATATTTATACATTTCGATCATACTGTTTTCAAAACTTTTCTGAGTAGAGCAAAGAATGGCAGTACAATTACTTTTTTTATTATACATTCCTAATAAAATAAATCAATATTCTGAAATTCAAAGTTTTTTTCTCTTATAGCAAACTCCATATTTTTATACAAGGTGACTATTCTGAAAAAAAAGTTTTATATAATGCCAAGACTGATTATAAAAAAAAAAGTATAGTTGAAAAAAAAGAAAAAGTTAGGGGTGGAAGTAAGAACAAGTATATTTTAAATATATACTTTCACCTAAACTTGGTGCAGTTACTAAATTTCCATTTAGTACTTTAAAAATTATCTCTTTTTGTAATTAAAGTTCATTTGACATATTATACATATTAAACAAGTTAAATATGCCATAACACACACATTGATCATCTCTCTTTCTAAGCGACTGAATTCAGCCACAAAATCTTAAATTCTTATCTTTGCTAATATCTTAAAGTCTTATCTTTGCTAGTAATGAATAATTTTTGTTGTAGGCAGGTTTTGAAGATATGTGTTTAAAATGTCTAAACCAATGGTTCAATGACTTGGCCATTTTTGCTTAAATAAATATAGCTTTTAAATATTGTTTTTATACCCAATTATTACATAAGTAGGTTATACTATTACATGAGTAGGTTATTTTATTACATAAGAAGGTTATATTATAACATAAAAAAGTACTTACTAAGTTAAGATACTTGTTTATTTCCAAGGAAAATAAATTTAAAAAAAAAATTTGTTTAGATCTTTTAATTCAAAATTAAGAAGCACTGGTTATGGAAAAGCATTAGAAAAATCTTCTGTCAAAAATAATTTTGAAAATCAAGATAATAACAAAGTTATTAGTAAACCTAAAAAATGTTTTATAATACTGCCAGAGTTGATAACTAAATCTTTATGATGTAAAAGTTGTTTTTTTTTACACAATAACATAATGGAATTTAACTTTGGTTTTGCTAAAATATATTTTATTGTCTTGCTGGTATTATCATCCTTTTTGACCATATACAGTATTTTTTTAAACCAATCAATTTTAGTTCAAAACACAAAGTATTAGTATTAAAACACTAGTAAACACACCTTAATTTAGTAACTAGTAAATTACACTAGTAAACACACCTTTTTTAAAGGTGTTTTATTTAATAGTGTTTAATACTATAACAATTTATCTTTTGTTTCTGATTTAGCTCGTACAAGTTATGTTTTCCCATAAACTATGTTGTATTTAGTTATTTTGAGTAGTTAATATGATATTTAGCAGCATTCATGTGCTTGTGCATAAAAATATACTAACAATATATCAGTTTTTTTCATTATAATTACTTCATGCATCAAAAATGAAATTAAAAAATAAGTCTAACTGAGAGGCTGTGAAATATAATTACTGAGTTTTCACATCTTTTAAATCAAACTTTTAATAAAAATGCTATGTACAGGCTCATGTATTAATCACAAGGCCCAATAAACTGTCAAAACTGACATCTAGATGCAAAGATAGTTTTGATAAAAACTAGGGTTAAGTGTTTACAAACAGGTTCGTTGTAATGAAACCTGTGAATGAAATCTGTAAAATAAAGAGTACAAAATTATTACAATAGCATACTATTAAATTATATATTATAAATCATTGTAGAGAAACAAATAATCAACATCAGTTAAAAGAACTACAGTTGACTCGTTATCTCGACTACTGGAAATCTTGAACTTTTGTGTACCTTAAACTAATTTCCGGCCCTTGCGCACTTGTTTGAGCCAAAATTCTCTCAATATCTTAAACTTTTTTTTGCAATAGACTTAAATGCTGGTCTCTTTTTGCATGTGTAATAGAGTTACTTGAATGCTGGTGTTTTTTTTTGGCAATAATGGTCGAAAAATCAAACATTCACTTCGTTTGACAATCTTTAGAAATGAAAAAACAATCAAAAATTGACATTTTTTCAAAAAATTGTAGAGAATTTGTTATTTTAAAATAAAATGCTTTAAGCAGCATCTTATTCCAAAAGTCTCCTTCTTTTACACTCTACTTCTGTTAAAATTTGATAGTAATTTGAAATATGTCTTTTTAAAGAGGATTTTCAGCTATTCAAATTTTCAGTTATTTGAAGTAAATTCTTATACCCCTAGGAGGTTCAAATAAATAGGAGTTTATGTATCTGAACTTTTGATTTAGAAAACATTAAAACAAAAAACAAAACAAAAAAACAACAAACATAATCATTAAGTTGTTGTTATGTGTCAGTTATTTTATTTGTTGTTAAAGTATTTTAGAAATGCAAGGTCCTGAATTATTTTTATGGTTTACTTCATTAACTAATGAAAATTATCAATTTTTCAAATAGATAATAAATGAAATGTCCATGAAATATAGTCATGTCCATTAGCATTTTTTCATAAATCCATTTAAATAAACATTTAAAATATAATTTAAATAGTTTTAAACTTTTTATGATTTGTCTTTTTTATTTTATATAAATTTTAAATAAAATTTTGTTATGTTATTTTGTTATATTATTTTGTTTTTAAATGAATTTTGTTATGCAGATATTCGCAACAAGTATTCTTATGAAAAAACTACAAAAGAAAAAGATTCTATGCGTGATGATGATGTACTAAAAACTACAAAAGATAAAAGATCTACCAGTGATGATGATATACTAAAAACCCTTTGCGATAAGCATCCGACACTAAAAGCATGTGAAGATTTAAAAGTTAAAGAGGAAGTGGTTGTGGTTTCAATATCGTCGCGTATAAAAACTTTAACTTATGCAATAAATGGTTTCATATACAATGTATTTGCTTATGTATTTGGTTGCATAAAGTTTATTTGCAGGCTTTTTTTACAATATTCTTTTGGCTTCCTATTGGTTATTATTGGAAAGTCTGAGGTAATTTGTTTACAATGTTCTTTTTTTTAAGTTAATTTAAGTTATTTTTTTTTAATTAGATTTAGATATTTTGATTTAGAAATAAAATTATTCAGGTTACTTATTTTTTCAGTAAAATAACCTTAATTATTAAATATTGAATAGTTTAAATTATCAAATATTGAATAGTTTAAACTTTAAGAAACACTCAATTCAAAAGTGGTAAATTATGTTTAGGTAATAAAAAATATATTTGTAAAATAGTTATTAATCTGATATCAAATTATCATTGTTTTGACATTAGTTAAAAATGTCAAATAGTGAGATTTATAAGTTTATAACTAAATTTATTTCTTTCAAATAGATTTAAGGAAAAAAAAACAAGTAATATTTGTAGTAAGGGAAAAAAAGTTCAGCCAAGTTATTTTTTAATAATTCTAAGAAAAATATTTATTGAAAAAAAAATTTGCATGGTGCCCTAAACACCTAAATTAGTTCAATTTCAGTTATTATTTTTATTTTTTTTTGTTATTCAAGGATATATTTTAAATAACTTTTGTACTTATTAAACCAGGAATCAACTATATTGATGACATACTTTGATTCAGTTAGCATTGAAAAGTTTTCAGTGTGGTTCATTTTGATTATTAATCATGTTTTATTCTACTGTTATTACCAAAATGTAAGTTAAAATAATAAATAATTTTATTAAATTTTTGCTTAAATTGATTATTTAATTATTATTTGGTTAAATTTATGCATAAATGTATTTAATAAATAATTGAAGAATTTATTTTTTAGTAAATAATTTAATTTTAATGCTGTTTTCGTTTTTTACAATTGTATTATTTTAATTAAAGTTAGAAAATATATTTTAGAGCTCAACTTGTCCTGTGGTCATGATGCCTAAACGTAAGTTTAGTTGTTTTATTTTAGAAATTAAACTGTGTAAGTGTGAAACTGATTAAAACTGGTCCGTCATTTATTTAATGAATTTTTGAATCACAAGTTACGCCAAAAAAAAATTTAAAATATAAAAATATTATTTAGAAAAAATATCAAAACTTTTATCTATTTATAACCTTACAAGTATTATTGCAAAATTCTATTTTTTTTCAAAGAGAAGCAATTTTTTTTTTTTTCTTTTAAGAAAGACCATAATGACTGACGATCCAATGCTTATATCTAAATATTTTTAAACTACCTTTTCCAAATTTTTTTAACTTCAATTTACAAAATAATATAAGTTTATCTGCATTTAGTAATAAACAAATGAATATATTTTCTAATGTTGCTCTCAAATTTCATTAGTTACAATGGTTTGCTATTTTTCTATATTTAATTATATAATCTGTTAGCGCTAATAAAGACAAAATTTTTTTTAAGATATTATACATTAACCTGTATGGTAATGTTTTATTTTATTTTTTCTATGCATTCAATAGAATTTTTTGTTTGGTTAAAAATTAGCAGTTGTCAAGTAATAAGATCCAAGGTACTTTTATGTTTTAGGAAGTTTTTCGTCAGAAAATGAATCAAAAAGATTACAAGAACAAGTCTCTGAAATGGAAGAAGAGCTAGAAAAATTAAAAAAAGAAATATCAACATATTCTATTCAGGTTTGAAAAATAGTTTTCTTGTTAAAACTAAAATTTATTTTACAGTGTCTTAAAAATGCCCCAGTCTTTTCAGGTAAGGCGTGCTGTTTTGCCTCTCTTGTATGACCACTCATAATATTTTGTTTTGACAACTTAGCCATGGTCTTTGTAAGTTAGAAAAATTAGAGCGTTTAAAAAAAATGCGCTGAATAAACAAATGTAAACTTAAACTAAAATTAAAAATAATAAACCATAAGTTTAAAAGAGAAATTAAAACTAAAAAAAAAAATACAAAACTACAAAAATAAAAAATCTTAATGAATGATAAAATAAAAATAAAAACATAAAATTGTATTATATTTTAAAATTGTTTTACCTAATGAAGTTTAGAAAAGATCAAAGTTCGAAAGTCATTTAATCCAAGCTTATTATTATTATTTGAAATTTATTTATTTAAAAATTGGAAACTTTGATATTTTTCAATGTCTACTGAACAAATAAAACATTAAAAAAAAAAATCTGTTAAAAGGGTTTGAACCTTCATCCAATATTGCACAAACAATGTCACAGCTTTTCTTATACATTATATAATCATCATCAAGCGATACACTGTCATAGTGATATTGGAAAAAGTTACTTGAAAACAATCAATTGAGATGCTTCTAAATTAATTTATTTATTAGGTTTGAACTGTTATTTGAAACACTTCTAAATTAAAATAAAATATTTTAATTTTATTTTTTTATTTTTACTAGTTTATCTTTTGATTGTTTCATTATTTAAGATTATTATTCTTTTTTCAGTTTGTGTTTTCTTTTAACTTTGTTTTCAGTTTAGTTTTTTCAGTTTATGGTTTTCTTTTAACTTTGTTTTCATTTTAGTTTTTTCAGTTTATGTTTTTTTTTTTTTTAACCTTTGTTTTCAGTTTAGTTTTTTCAGTTTATGGTTTGTTTTCTTTTAATTTTGTCTTCAGTATAGTTTTTTCAGTTTATGGTTTGTTTTCTTTTAACTTTGTTTTCAGTTTAGTTTTTTCAGTTTATGGTTTTTTTTTCTTTTAATTTTGTCTTCAGTTTAGTTTTTTCAGTTAATGGTTTTTTTTTTTTTTAACTTTGTTTTCAGTTTAGTTTTTTCAGTTTATGGTTTGTTTTCTTTTAACTTTGTTTTCAGTTTAGTTTTTTCAGTTTATGGTTTGTTTTCTTTTAACTTTGTTTTCAGTTTAGTTTTTTCAGTTTATGGTTTTTTTTTCTTTTAATTTTGTCTTCAGTTTGTTTTTTTAGTTTATGGTTTGTTTTCTTTTAATTTTGTCTTCTGTTTTTAAAACTCGCAAATTATCAAAAAAACATGCTAAATGTCTAAGCCAAGTTGTCAAAACAAAATACTGTGGGTATGCAGGGTCGGCCCAAGCTACAGGTGAACCGGGTACCAGCCGGGGGCGCAGAAAAATAGGAGGCGCATTATATTTATGTGTGTCATCGCAAAGTTATTATTTAATGATCTTTTTCATATTTAATATATAATGATCTATTTCATTTTTAAAAGTTCCTAATTCGAAATATTGCAAATTAAAATTATTTATATTTATAAAAATGCAAGTTTGGGCTGTAAAAGTTAATAAGTAATGCATTTTTTCCCTAATTGAAAACATTAAAGGGATCCTTTGCCGAGACAAGTTGTGTTCATATTAAAGAAAATGTTTAAAAAAAACATTTGGGCTAAATTTTATTGATTAAAACTATATAATGAATGCACACCATTAAATTTAAAATTCACGTCTTAGTCGAAGTTTGCCGTCTCAATTTTTTTTCAGTTCTCGGAGTCTGTATAATGTTAGCCGCAATCTACAGACTTGATAATTTATTCCTTGTGTGTTTAATTCATAACAGTTTCGGTATATGACATCATCGTATAAATTTTTTCTATTAAGATGTCGTATTATTTTTTGACCACAATCTCCAAATCATGTTAATTGTACAACTTTTTACTGAATCCCAAAAAAATGTTTATAATGCAATTAAAAATTAAATTTATAAAATTTATAAAAGTAAAAATTTAATATATAACGAATATTTACAGTAAAATGTAATAGACTAAATATAAAACTTAATATAAACTAGATACTAAAAGGTTTAAACTAAATATAAGCTAGATACTAAAAGGATAATTTTACTAAAGCATATAAATTAATTTAAAGTATAAAATAAATAAAAAATGAGTGACTTGAATAAAACATAAACTGAACTAAGTAGAAAATAAATATTAAACAAATTATTTAACTAATAACTGTTCAAATCAAACTTAAATTAAACAAAATTAAAGTTAAAACAAATATTTTTACTAGAATATACAAGAAATAGTTATTATATAAATATAAAAACAAAGAATCGCCTCAACTTGTTCGCTACCAGCCAAACAAACTTTTTGTAGCAACCGCACATTTTTTTGATTAACATTTGAATAGTATTGACATTGACATTGACAATTAATTAAAATTCGATAATAATAAAGTTTTTAACACGCATCATTAAACAATAAGAAATGCAAAGTGATTAAAACTATTGTTTTTATAAGTAGTAACTAAAACATTAACTCCAAAACAAACCTCGTTTAATGAATAAAAAGAATATTTTTTCTACAAAATACTTTAGTAATTACTTAACTTAACACTTCTACAAGTTAAATTTTACAGTGTTAACACTATTTTATTTTATAACTAAATTTAAAAAAGTTTTTTTTATGAAGGATTATTCAAGATTTTTTAACTTTGTGATAACTTTTTTTATAAATACATAACATAGCTCTTATTTTTTCTTGATTGTGAATTAATTAAACCTTTAGAACAAACAAATTCTATGTGTCTAGAATAGAAATTTATGTACAAAACAAGATAAGTTATAAAGCATACTCGAAAGCAGCTACCAGAGGCTTGCGGTAGTAAAAGAGTTAAACCATAACTAAATGTAAATTAAACAAAATGAGCAAATCTATTAAACCATATGAACTAAATATAAAATGAGAAACCGCATCATACTGCATTTATTTTTCTTTGCCTGTGAACTATAATAATCACAAAATATGTATAATTGTATATTTATATATATATATATATATATATATATATATATATATATATATATATATATTATATATATATATATATATATATATTTCAAATATATATATATATATATATATATATAATATATATATATATATATATATATATATATATATATATATATATATATATATATATATATATATATATATATATATATATATATATATATAGATATATATATATATATATATATAGATATATATATATATATATAGATATATATATATAGATATATATATATATATATATATATATATATATATATATATATATATGTATGTATGTATGTATGTATGTATGTATGTATGTATAATTTTTTACTAAATCACAAATACTTTTTGTGATTTAGTAAAAAATTAAACAAATATTTGATTTTCTGATTGTATTAGAAAAAAATAAAATCTTAAATCTTTAAAAAAACAACAACAAAAATACGCTATCTTAAAAAAATATTGCGATGATGTCATATACCGAAACTGTTGTGAATTAACACGCATGGAATAAATTATCAAGTCTGCAGATTGTGGCTAACATTATACAGACCCAAAAAAATGTAGCCCAAATGTTTTTTTTAAACATTTTCTTTAATATGAGCACAACTTGTCTCGGCAGTTGGGGGTCCCTTTAAAGTGTTGCGTTTCAAAATTTATTTTTTGTTTAGTCATTAGAAAAAAGAATTAATTTTTGGAGCGATCGCTTAATAAAAATTTTTATAAATTTTTAACTTATTTTTGTATTAAATTGTTTAATTTAAGAGTCCATCATGTCTGCAAATAAACCATAGAGTGCAGCAAACTAAAAAAGACAATTTGAATTTAAACGAGAAAATAAAAAGTCTGCAAAGTTTTTTACAAAATATTTTCAAGTAGAGTCCAAGCAAAGTGAAGTAATTGGTTGCTCTTTGTCATTAGTTGGTAGTATTTCTGTTTTGGATGAGAAAATGGAAGAAACGCCTGAAGAAAGTAGACAACTCAAAACAACATCTCAGTCTCCTAGTTCTACCACTACTGGTGATGTTCAAATAGATATAAATGATCCTGCACTATGGCCAGTCCCCTTAATTCTAAAATTTGTGATCACATAATTTATGTAAGAATTGATGTAGAATCTTACCTAACAAATATTCTTAAATTTCCACAAAATCATAACAATCGTTGTTTTTCGAAATCATTAATGTACATAGAATTAAATAATGGTGAATCTTATTTGGGAACCTGGTTACTATATTCATAAAGTTCTGATAAATTGTTTTGTGTTTGTTGTAAACTTTATTATTCAGATAAAACAAAATCATCATAAGCCAGTGTTGGAATCAATAGCTGGAAACACATTACTGAATATATAAAATCACGTGAAAATTTACCTGAACATTTAAAGTGTTTTGGTAATTGGTTTAAATCTAGTCGTAGGCTTAAAACAAATAAAATTATTGATAAAAATTTGCAATCTTTAATTATTAGAGAAAGAGATCACTGGTACCTTGTGTTAGATCGCATGTGCAACATAATTTTGTACCTATCGAAAAATAACTTACCTTTTTGTGGTTCTTCAGACAGATTATTTACTTCTAAAAATGGAAATTTTTAGGGTTTAGTTGAACTGTTGAGCAAATATGATGCAACTTTAAACGAACATTTACGACGCATTTCTTTTAAAGAATCTCATGTAACTTATTGCAGAAAAACAATTCAAAACTAGTTAATTTCTTTATTGGCATCCGGAGTTAAAGACAATATTTTAAGACAAGCTAGAGATGCAAAATATTTCAGTATAATTCTAGACTGCACTCCTGATGTCAGCCATACTGAACAACTTTCCTTTACATTAAGATTTGTTGATATTTTAAGCGATGAGATAGAGATTAAAGAACATTTTTTAGCATATCAAACTGTTGAAAAATCTACTGGACAATCTTTATTTGAAATTTTGTAAAAGTTGTTGGAAGATCTAAATTTAAATTTAATGAATTGTAGAGCGTAAGGGTATGATAATGGTGCAAATATGAAGGATAAAAATAAAGGCGTACAAGCTTAAGTTTGTGAAATAAATCCAAGAGCTTTTTTTATGCCTTGTGGATGTCACTCTCAAAATTTAGTTATAAGCGACTGTGCAACATCTTGTACTGAGTCTATATCATTTTTTTGGAATCGTCCAAAGAATATATACACTGTTTTCAGCTTCAGTATCGAGATGGAACATACTGAAAGATCATGCATCCAATTTTACAGTTAAACCTTTTTGTGAAACTCGATGGGAAAGTTGAATTGATTGTTTTAAACGAATAGTGGATACCAATACCAAATAGTGGAAATTTACGATGCTTTAGTAACTTTGAGTGAAACAGACTCTTCTGATATTTCCATTAAACACGAAGCTTATACATTATCTAAACAGCACTTTTTATTTTTTGGTAATGCTTGTTAGCTGGTACAATATTTTATACCATGTAAATATAGTTAGCAAATCTATGCAATCTGCAGCCATGGATATAGCCTCAGTAGTTTCACTTAAAAAAATCATGTACTGAATTTGTGACAGAATATAGGATAACTGGTTTTGAAAGTTCTCTACTTGATGCAAAAGAGCTGATTGAATCTTTGGAAGTTGAACCAATTTTTATTGAAAAAAGGTTACGCTGTAAAAAACAAATATTTGCTTATGAGGGTAGAGATGAGATTGTAGTAAGTCCCACAAACAATTTTAAGAACAACGTCTTTAATGTTATCTTAGATAATGCCATAGCATTTCTTCAAGAAAGATTTCAACAACTGAATGAATTTCACCAAACTTGGGGAATATTGTATAATCTGAAGAAATTACCTGCTGTCAATGACTTACTTAAGTTTTGCAAAGATCTGCATTTGAAATTAAAAATGGAAAAAAATTGCGATATTAATGGCACAGAATTATTTGACAAATAATGATTGGCATCCACCCTTTTGCCTAAAAATTATCTTGGACGTCCTCTAAATATCTTGAACTTTATAAAATCCATTGGATTGCAAAATGTGGTTCCAAAATATTTTGATTTCATTAAGAATAATGCTTACCATATTAATTACTGTTGCAAGTGGTGAGAGAAGTTTTAGCAAATTAAAGCTAATAAAAAACTTTTTACAATCTACTATGAGTGAAAAACAATTGAATAACTTAGCTATATTTTTCATCAATAATGAAATAGCAACACAATTAGAAATAACCGAAATAATTAAAAAACTTTGCCGATTTAAAGGCTAGAAAAATTATTTTATAGTATTGTATAAAGTTTAAATTGGTTCCTGTTTAATTTAATAAATAAATGATTTATAATTTATAAAAATGCATAATTCATGAAGGACGCAATTTGAATTCGTTCCCGGGGCACTAGAATTCCTCAGGCCGGCGTTGTGTGTATGCTCATATAAGACATGCAACCGCACACCTTTCCTTAAAAGGCTTAAAAGGCTGTCAGTTAAACTTGATTTGCTTAATTATAAAGAGTCTTGAAAAGAAAAGATTTTTTTTTTGATTATTTAAGTGAATATATGTTAATGTTAAAAAAAATATTCAGACACAAAATTTGGCAATAATTATTATTTTTTATTTTATTTGATTTAATCAGTTTCATATTTTCCACCAATCATGATTCAGTAGTGATTTTCCACCAAATCATGATTTAGTAGTGATTTTCCACCAATCATGATTTAGTAGTGATTTTCCACCAATCATGGTTCAGTTGTGATTTTCACCAATCTTGATTCAGTATTGATTAAGTATAAAAACAAAATAACTAATTTATAACTGATGATAGATAATTTATGAGGAATTTGAGTATCGAATAATAATTAACAATTTTTTTTTTAAACTTCCACCTTGATAGTTTAAATATTTGAAAGTTTTTGTTGTTTTGTCAAATGTTTTATCAAAAAAAACTGTATTAAAAATTTCATGATTGAAAAAGATAAATATGATGGCATTAGACAATAAATCCATTTCTACTGAGTTGGATGTTGTTTTTTTTAAATCAAATTTTTTTATTTTTAATTTTCAATTTTTTAGAATCGTATTAACTTAAGAAATTTAAAAAAAAAAAAAAATTTATCTTCAAAATTTTTTTTTTGAAATATAATCAACTTTTAAATCCTGAAATTTATTTAACCTTTTTTCTATATAAATATTTTTATATAAATATTGATCTTATATGTTACTTAAGTGCTTTACTTAAATGCTGTATTATTTCTTGTTTAATTATTCTTGTAGTTTAAAACAGGCTAATCAAAAAATGTTTAGATAAATTCTTGTAACTTGAACTCCTATAATTTGAAAGTTAATTTAAATTGAACTAATTCTTGTATTTATTCAGAATTTAATATTAAACTCCTATTTAATATTTAGGATTAAACTCTTATATTTTGAGATGCCTTGAAAATTTACATGTGTTTATTTGTATTGATTTTAATTTTTCTAAACTATTTAAATTTTTTTTTTTTGTAAAGTCAAGTTAATATGTTCCTTGTTTGTCAATTTTTAATCATTAAATATTTATTTTGTTTAATGTTTATGTCTATTTATGTGTCTTTGTCTAAAATTATATTTTTGTCTCTTATTTTTACAGGTTAATGAAAAGTTAGAAGAAATTTCAAATCTAGAAATGACAGTTAAAAATCTTAACACACAGTTAACTAAAGAGAAGGTTTTTAAATAAATGTTTTTTGTTTTTTATTCCAAATAAATTTGCTTTTATTTATTTTATTTATTAAATCTGAAATTAAATTGCTTTTATTTATTTTATTTATTAAATCTGAAGTTAAAGTCTTTTTAAGTCTGACTTGATAAGTCAGACTTGTGATAATCTTTAATAGTTAAAGTATACTTACAATAATCTACAATAATTTTACAATAATCTTACAATAGTCCTATAAGATTATTTTTACTGTAAGTAACATCTTCTGATATTTTATGTATATTATGAATAAAAAGTGTGTTACCAGTAATTAAAATACTCCATAAAATAAAATTGTAAAAGTAATATAAAATTTTAATAAGTTTTGACAAAAATAATATAAAATGAAAAATAAAATTCATACAATGATAATTTATAACTTTCCAATTGTAAATTATGCAAAAAGAGTCATTTGAACACAATTAACTTGGTTTTTCATATCTGGTTTATACTTAAATATATTTACTTGAATTTATATATTTTTTATTTTGAGACCTAATTTATCAGAAGAATAATCCAAATTAAAGAAGCATTGTTGTGATTGACTTTTTATAGATGATATGTAGGTGTTTAAAAATGTTTTTTGTCATCCCTATAATGTTCAATCATCTGTCTTAGGTAATAGTTTCAACAATAAATATTGGCACGAATTGCATCCTGCAGTAATTTTGTTTAACATTTGTTCAAAGTTTCTTCTCAATATTTTTTTAAACATATGTTCCAAGTTTCTTTTTCAACATTTTTATAAAACTATTTTAAGCTTTTTAATTAAATACATTTTTGCAATTCATATTTTAAAAAATTTTAAGTCTTTTCAGTTGCAATAGTTTTTAAAAAATAATAGCCATGCGATAACACTAATTAAACAATTAATTTTTTCAAAGTACAAACTTACAACCAAGTTGCTGTTGCTGTTAGATTTTCATTAGCACCTTTTCTTGTAAACATATCCATTGGTTATAATCAAAATACTTAACTTGTTTAGCATAACAAAACACATTTTGTTACTTAAAAATTATTATCAATAGAGCTAAAATCATTTGTGGCCTACAAATTTGTTTGTGCTGTAACTTTTGTTATGTTGGCAAAACAACTTACCATCTTTTGGCAGAAATGATTGAAAGGTTTTAGGAGAGGAAAATTTCTTACATATTTCAAAATCTATAGTTGATATGTCAATTCTCAAAATAAAAAAAAGTTTAATAACTAGTATTGACCAGGCAAGTGCACAGAATAGGAAAAATTTATGTTGCATGATATAATGCAGACGAACAGATTGATCAGGTTCCAATTATTTTCTGCAAAATTACCATTGTATCCCATTAAGTTTATTAAGTTAAATTTATGTTGGGGCAATGAAGCATTAAATTTAAATATTGAAACAACTTACATGACAAAAAAGACTCTGAGAAATATTTTAATAGAATTCCGAAGGTTTTAAATCACCATATCAAATCAATAATCTAAAAAATTAAAAAGATATATTATAATCTTAATTGTGTTACCTTTTGTTTTAGTTTTATTTGGTCTTAATTTTGTCTTTTATAAATTTTTATAAAGAAAAGAATTTTATAGTAAAAAAAAAAAGAAAAATTTTTAAAAATTTTTAATTTCATGAGAAAAATAAGAATGTTCATGAAAATAATTTACTAAAAACATTTTTTAAGATGTATTTATGTAAATTCTAATAAAATTCAAATTTTAAAATGATAAATTAAAAAAAAAAAAGATAATATGGAATGAGTTGTATGAATTTACTTTTAAAATTTTCTTAAGTAGCTATTAAGATATGTGTATTTAATTTATTTTATTTTGAAGTCTTACTAAATGTAACATCTGTATCTCTATTTTTAATTTTCTTTCTTTTTTAAAGCTATCAAACCAAACATTGTTAAATGAAGTTGGAACTTTTAAAGAAACAGCTAATATATTGGATAAAAAGTTGTTAGAAAAAGAGTCTGAAATACTAATGAAAAATAGTACCATTGATACATTAAAAGATAACCTCAAAGAGTTAAAAGAAGAATTGAAAACAATAGAGGAAAAATTTTTCTTTGTAATAATTTTTAAATTTTTTCATTAATTTATTTTTAATTTGAAATATATATTATCTTTGTGAAAATTATTTTAATAGTATTTATATTTTTTTATTATTCTTATTGGTTACATGGCAACAATAATGTAAAGTAATCAAGTTTAAATGTTTTTTTGTTTGTTTGTTTTAAAAAAAATTATATTTACAAAGCAGAAAGTGTTACATTTTTTTTTTTTTTTTAATTTTTGAATTTATTTATTTTCATTCCGACATCAACTGATTTAAATAAGGAAAACATGTAGTGTTCATATATCAACTCCTTTTAACTATTGACCAAAAGCTTCAATGTTGCACTTTTTTTTGATAGTTTTATTAACTTAGCACCACTGAATAACCTTTTTAGAAGTGAGAAGCAATTAGATTGGGGCAAAAGAGATTTTAGTATTTTACTTTTTTATAAAAAGCTAAAATATTTTTTAAAATGCATTCTTTGATGTTGGAATCAACAGTCAAGGTCTTATTAGTGACAAAACAAGAAGACTTCATACCATAACTGAAATTTGTATTCTACACAAGGAATCGGGATGCAAATAGTTCATTGAATATATTCATCAATGAATAAATTGACCACCTACAGGTTTATCTTTGTGCTCATTGTAAAATTGTTGACTAGGAAAATGTAAAAGTCTTTCAAGATTTTTTTTTTCAACTTCAATTATGTACATATTATTAATCTAGTATTATTTTTATCAAACTCTTTGTGCGTTGAATTTCTTCAATTTCTTATCTAAACTTCTCTTTGGTGCATTTTCTTTATGAAATGCTTTAAAACCAGTAATTTTTAGCACTTTTTGAACATTTTTTGCATGTGAATTTTAGACATTATTTGCATGTGAATTTTGGATTTTCATGCTAGGTTTCTCTGTAAGTGGTTCAAGTTTCTTGATACTGAACTGATAACTGAATTTACTTCATTAGATTTATGGAATGTTTTCCTTCTTCCACATAAATTAAAAAAATATTAATGACCTAGAAAAAGTTAATAGACATGCCTCAAAATTAGCACCTTAACTAAAACATGTAAGTTATACTGAAAGACTGACAAACACTGGAAATAAGACATATAAGAGTTGATCTTGTTAAGTTTTTCAAAATAACAACTGGGATCGATAAGTTATTACGGTATAAAGAGCTTCATAAAGCTTTTTCCCAATATCTAAGGAGTCATTCAATAAAAATTTGAATAAGAATTCGCAAAAACGACCCTGAGACGTAATTTTTTTACAAACAGAGTAATACCTCACTGGAATGCCTTACCTCAAAAAGTGATATATGCAATGACAGTAAATTCTGACAGTAAAGCTAGACTTTGTTAAGGGCTGTTAAAGTATAAATTTTGAACTTTATACTCCGTGACATCGTTACAGCAGTTTGTATCGTTATTACTATTGTTATTATTATCTGGACTCTAAATTTTAAATATACTTAAGCTTTTACTTAAGCATATACTTAAGCTTTTCTATGATCTATGATTTTGGTACACATTAAGTTGGCAACATAAAGTTGATGGTTTTTTAATAAAAAAAAAATTGAAACTTTTTTATGCGCTTCAATTTGTTTTCGTGACATTTTGCAAGTCTTTAATTTTAAACAAAAGCTTATAGATAGAATTAATGATAGGGAAGTAATGTTTAATTAAGAAAAGGTTT